GGGATCGAGTCCCGCATCGGGCTCCCTGCTCAGCGGGGAGTCTGCTTCTCCCTCTGACCCTCTTCCCTCTCGTGCTATCTCTCATTCTCTCTCTCTCAAATAAATAAATAAAGTCTTTAAGAAAAAATACAATTGATTTAAAAGAAAGTTTTAATAAAGACTTAAATTTTCAGCTGGCTTAGGACATCTTGTTTATCACTGAATAACTTCCTGATGCTGTCATTTTTAAAAATATTATAAAACGTACATAACAAAATTATTCATTTACCATTACAGTTCAGTGGTACTAAGAACAGCATTCACATTATGCAATATACAGTTGATCTTTATATTGACCTTTGTACTCTGAGATTTTTCTAAATTCAGTAATTCTCGTTGCTTTTTTGGGATTATTTTTTTTGGTAAATGATCATGTCATCAGTGAATAGTTTCATTTCTCTGTATAGAGAACAATTTTATTTGTGTAGTTCTTTTATTACTTTGTCTTGCCTTACATCCTTGTCTGTTTCCTGATCTTATAGGAAGAGCATTTAGTCTTTCACCATTGCATGTAAATGTTAGTCATAGGTTTTTTGTTCTTGTTCTTTTTTTTTGACAGAAGATGGTGGTGAGGGAAAGGGAGAGAAAGAATCTTAAGCAGGTTTCACGCCCAGCATGAGGCTGACGCAAGGTTCGATCTTACCACCCTGAGATCATGACCTGAGCTGAAATCAAGAGTCCGAAACTTAATCCACTGAGCCACCCAGGCACCCTGTTAGCCATAGGTTTTTTTGTAGATGCCCTTTATTGTCTTGAAGAAGTCCCTTTCCATTCCTAGTTTGCTGAGATTTTTTATTTATTGTGGATGGATGTTGAATGTTGTCAGATGTTTTTGTGGTATTCAATAAGATGATGATATATGATTTTTTTTTCTTTTTCTGTTGATTTGCAGATTATATTGGTTGAATTTTGAATGTCAAACCAACCTTGCATTTTCAGGAAGAAACCCACTTGATCATGGGGCAATCTTTTTATATACTGCTAGGATTGATTTGATAATACATTGTTGAGAATTTTTTGCATTTATATTCATGTGGCATATTGATCTATATGTAGTTTTAATGTCTTTGTGTGTGTTTTATATAAGAGTAATGCCGACCTCATAATATGAGTTGGAAGTGTTTCCTCTTCTTTTTTTTTTTTTCCTTTCACTGGAGAAGTTTTTGTATAATTGATATTATTCTTTAATTGTTTGGTAGAATATCCTTCTGAAGCCATGTGGTTGTGGAGCTTTTTGTTTCTGTTTTTTTCACCTAAGTTTTAAAACTATTTAATTTTTTTGGTAGATATAGCACTGTTCAGTTTATTTCTTCTTGAGTGGCTTTTGTAGTTTTTGTAGTTTGTGTATTTCTGGGGATTTGCCTATTCTAAGTTGTGTAAACTGTTGACATAAAGGTGTTTGTAATATTCCCTTATCCTTTTCATATCTGTAGGATTGTTAGTAATGTGCCCTATTTTGTCTTCTCTTTTTTTGTCAGTCTGGATACAGGTGTATTGGCATTTTTGGTTTTTTCAGATAACTTGTTTTTGGTTTTAGTGATTTTTCTCTATTTCTGTGCATTCAATTTCATTTCTCCTTTGATACTTACCTCTGTTTTCTCCTTTTTTTTTTTTTTCCTAGTTTCTTAGGTGTGGAGCTTAGATCATCAATATGACACCTTTCTTTTAAAAAAGAACAGTGCCATAAATTTGCTTCTTGGCCCTTCTTTAGCTACATTCTATGAATTTTGATATATTTTCATTTTCCTTTAATTCAAAATATTTTCTAATCTTTTCTTTGTCTTTGATTCCTGAGTTGTTTAGAAGTATATGTATTTTTGGGGCACCTGGGTGGCTCAGTTGGTTGGGTGTCTGCCTTCGGCTTGGGTCATGATCCCGGGGTCCTGGGATCAAGCCCCACATTGGGCTCTCTGCTCGGTGAGAGCCTGCTTCTCCCTCTGCCTCTGCTTGCTCCTCCTCCTGCTTGTGCTCACTCTCTCTCTGTCAAACAAATAAATAAAATCTTTAAAAAAAAAGAAGTATATGCATTTTTATATGTATATGTCTATATATATACATATATATATGTGTATATATATTTTTTAAGTAGGCTTCACACCCAATGTGGGGCTTGAACTCACAACCCTGAGATCAAGACCTGAGCTGAAATCAAGAGTCGGATGTTTAACTGACTGAGCCACCCAGGTGCCCCAGAAATATATTTTTAAATTTTCAAATATTTCAGGGTTTTCCACATATCTTTCTATTATTTCTAGCTTAAGTTTTTGGTAGGCAGTGAATAGAGAACGTTCTACTGAATTTGTTGAGGTTTGTTTTATGGGTCAGAATATGTTCTATTTTAAAAAGAATGTGTACTTGAAAAGAATGTGTTTTCTGTCGTGGTTTTGTTAAAATATCAATTAAGTCAAAGTAGATAATAGTGTTGCTCAGATCTTATGTAATTTTACTAATTTTGTGTCCGTTTGGTCTGTCAAATACTAGGTGAGGAGTCTGTATTTTGGAGGCCTGTTCTTAGGTATGTACACACAGGATTGTTAGGTCTTCTTGGTTGATCCTTTTATTGTTTTACAATTATTCCTCTTTATCCTTGGTCACGTTTTCTGTTCTTTTTTTGTTTTTATTCTTCTAAGATTTTATTTATTTGAGAGAGAGAAAGAGAGCACGTGTGTGCGCCTGCATGAGCAGGGGCAAAGGGGAGAGGCAGAGGGAGAAGGAGAAGCAGACTCCCTACTGAGCAGGGAGCCTGACACGGGGCTCAATCCCAGGACCCTGAGATCATGACCTGAGTGAAAGGCAGATGCTTAACTGAAGTCAGATGCTTAACCAACTGAGCCGCCCAGGTGCCCTCATATTCTCTGTTCTTAAATCTAGTTTGTGTGATACTGACATAGTCATTTTGGCTTTCTTTTATGTAGTGTTTGCGTGGTATATCTTTTAACCTATATGTTTTTATATTTAAAGTTGGTTTTCCCGAAGAAAGCTTGACAATCTGTTTTTAATTTGTGTGTTTAAACCCTTTACATTCAGTATAACTATTGATACAGTTCATTAAATCTACCGCATTGTTAGTTATTTTCTATTTGTCCCGTCTGTTCCTCATTCCTCTTCTTTTTTTCTGCCTAATTTTATATTTTTTTTTGTGATTGTTTTGTCTTCATGACAGACTATTCTCAATATT